TATTCACACATACTGCTTCCATCCACTCTCTCAGTCTGTTCTGGAGCCATAAAGTGATTTAAAGCCAGTCTAAAAATTTGGCTGACTATGAAACCTAGCAAATAATATATTTAAAAAAAAAAAAAAAATCTATGGAGACTTTTTTCCTAGACAGGAAGAAAGGTTTGCTTTGATTATTTGAGAGAGAAAGCAGGTTAGTCTCTTTTCATGGCATGCTATGAGGTAATATTCCCCCTCCCAAATTGTAATTAATCAGAGGAAAACAAGACATGAAGCTGAATGCAGCTGAAATCTATATAACAAGAGGACATGTAGGCTGATCTCCAGGAAAAACAGTCTCATGCAAAACAACCTATATTCAAATAAAGGGCTATAGGAAACTAATATTCTACTAAAACTTCATGTGCATTACATTTTCTCACGGTTTTTATAATAACCATTTACAGTAAATCAGTTCATGGCTACCTGCACTTTTATTAGCTGTACAGCAGCTTGTAAGGAAAAGAGGAGTTCTTAAAGTCACTTTAAAAGATCACTTATAAAAGAAATGCGATCCAAAGACTTTCCGATCTATAGCTACATTGCTTAGCTTCTATTAACTCTCCAATCTCATCTTCACACTAGATAAAATATTCCAAAAATTTATTCCTTTCCACATCCAGTTCCTCAGTTTCCACCTCATACTGCTTTATGTTGATAAAGTACTGGACAAAATAATCCCCCAGCGCTTCCCTGATGCACTCATCTTCCTGGAGAGCCACAAGAGCGTCTTCCAGCTTCAGAGGGATCAGGCCTGCTTTCGGCAGAGTGGAGCTCTGGATCTTCCCTGAGGTCTCCTGGAACGTAAGCTTTCTCTTTACCCCATCCAGACCGGCTGCGATTGTAGCCGAGAGCACCAGGTAAGGGTTGGCTGTGGCTGAGCCCAGTTGGTTTTCTATCCAGGTTCCCTTGTCACCATGATTTTGGATGTTAAACGCACAGCTGTTGTCATTCCATGCTCCCTTGGCAACCACAGCTTCCTTGGAGCCTTTGCCACACCCGCTATAGGCTTTGCGGCAGGTGACGGTGGGGGCCATCAGGCAGCTCAGAGCTGCAGAATGCGTCAGTAACCCGGCCATCCAATTCTTCCCTATCTCAGTTAGGTCTGGGGCTTCAGAAGCAAATAAATTATGCTGTCTATTGCTGTCCCAAAGGCTGTGGGTCAGAATGCCAGAATTATAGAATCCATCCTCGGTGAAAAAACTGGCGATATAATTGTACTTTTTGGCTACCTCTTTAATGCCTGTCCGGAAAGTGAAAGCACTGTCCGCGGCACCAAGCCCAAACTCTGGGTGAAAAGAGATCTCCATCTGGCCAGGCCCAGCCGAGGATGAGAAGCTTTCGGTGTTTGCCCCAGCGTGGTACATGCCATCCATGAGTTCCTGGATGAAGGACTGGTCGTGGTTGCTGAGTAGGGTGGCAGCGGGAAAAGATATTGTCTTTGAGTTGACAATTTCAGCAATGCCGTAGACGCAGAATTCGTACGTGAAGGCAGAATACAGCGCAAAGCCGTTTTCCCGGAGCTGATTCAACTGCTGCTTGGCAATGTGCCGGGGCGAGGTCAAGAGAGGGTTGCCCATCACCATAAAGGGATCGCAGATCACTCTTGCTGTTTGTTCCACCCACGGTAAGATCCGGAACGTTGATAAATCGGGTCTCAGGATGATGTCACAGTTAAAGCTGCTTGCAGGAGCGTGACCTGTCTCACGGTCCCTTGGATTCAGGGTCAGCTCAAGGTAGCCTTTTGGCATGGCAACCCCATAAATTGCTTTGGTCTAAAGAGAAGGAAGAAAAACATATGGCTATGCTTTGGATGAATTAAATAATCCTTAAGTAGCACTATCACATTGACACATTACATTTCTGAGGAAAACCTTTGAAGTTTCAGAAGGAACCATAACCAATTGTCCAAGGGAAAAGACATACACTGTAGTTTTTCCAATCAGAAACTTCTTGTGACCATTATGAAGAATTAGGAGTTGACATGGGATGTGTGTATATTTGTTTGCATGTGTATGCCTGTATGTGTTTGTCTGTGTGTGTATAGCAATAGCACTTAGACTTATATACTGCTTCACAGTGCTTTACAGCCCTCTCTAAGCAGTTTACAGAGTCAGCCTCTTGCCCCCAAAAATCTGGGTCCTCATTTTACCCACCTCGGAAGGATGGAAGGATGAGTCAAGCTTGAGCCTGGTGAGATTCAAACTGCCAAACCTCTGGCAGCCAGCAGTCAGCAGAAGTAGCCTGCAGTACTGCATTCTAACCACTGCGCCACCACGGCTCAGATGTGGGGTGGAGAGACAAAAGGCTGAATAAACAAGCCATAATGCTGTTAAGAAAGGAATAGCAATAGCAATAGCAATAGCAGTTAGACTTATATACCGCTTCATGGGGCTTTCAGCCCTCTCTAAGCGGTTTACAAAGTCAGCCTCTTGCCTCCCAAAATCTGGGTCCTCATTTTACCCACCTCGGATGGATGGAAGGCTGAGTCAACCTTGAGGATCTGGTCAGGATCAAACTCCTTAATAGTTGGTAAAGATTTCCTTCCCGCCCCTAATTATCCTTGTCTATTTATGATGGTCACGCCGAATAACACTACTTAGGAATGAACGAGACGTATGTTCCTTAGACCATGGTTTTTGTTACAGTTCAGGAAAGTGAACGTTTATTTTGTGGAACAATACAATTCGTGTCGATGATTAAATGAGCCAACAACAGATTGTGTTTACGCTCTCCTATATCCACCTAGTAAGATGTTGAGCCTTGCTACGTTTACCAAGAATAACTTTAACCCAGCCATATCTAATCCCAAAGTTATTACAAAGATAAAATGGGAATGAAGGAAACCCATAAGGACTACCCTGAACTGACTGGAGAATGGTTCTTT